TACGTGGGATTGTGACAGTGCATATAAATAAACAGATATTTAATCAGTTTAATAACTTGTTTGACATTTCTTCGCTCTGTACTTGCCTGTTCTTCTAAAAATTGCATGTAGCTCCTCATGTTTGCATGATTCCTGCTCATTATTTCAACTGTCAGAACTTGTGCCTCTTCATCCTATAACAGAAAAATTAGTGGCGTTAGCTCATTTTCAGTTAAAAGGAGAACTATGAGGTGAGTGCTTTTCACTCACCTCATAGTTCTAGCCGACCTGTGACAATGAGACTGTCATAGGTCGGCTCAGTAGATCGGGAGGAGAGCGAACACATACCGGCGTTCGCTCACTTCTCGATCCTGCCACGGCTCTCTGCCGTGACAGGGGACGGGCTGGATTCCCCGCTCCGATCCGCCAGCGCTGACTGGCAAAACGTACGGGGGAGGGGGCAGGTACAGCTGGCTCTGCCTCTATATAGGCAGAGCCAGCTGTCAGTCACGCAGCTGGGCGGATCCCGACATAATTGTCGGGATCCGCTTCAGCGGCGGCGTCTTAGTATACCGCGAGCAGCTGCTCGAGGTATACTGCAGCGTCTCAGTATACCGCGAGCTGCAGCTCGCGGTATACTGAGCTTAGGGTGACGGGAGGCCGCTAGTTTGTGTCCTCCCGTTAACCTAAGGAAAACTATGGGGAAAAGCCTTAACCCCATAGTTCTCCATTAAGACATGAAAAAGCTAACACACACCCCCTCCCTTGTCACCACCTAACATATTTCCCCTGTATGTACATTTGAGTGCTTATTTTGTATATAACTGTTTTGATTTCACCAGAGCCGTAGTGGCTGGGTTTTTCCTTTTTATGTTGTTTTAGTGTTGGATGTTTCAGGGCCCATTCACACCACATCCAGATTATCTCCAGACCAGATTGTTTCCGGACCCAAAATGCATCCTAATGTATCCCTATGCTATTTCTGGCCCTGTTCACACGAGCGTAGTCCTTTCCAGACCAGATCAGAAAAATACTGCATGTCTCATTTTGTCTGGTCTGGCATGCACTGGAACTGAGAGCAGGTTCACCCCATTTCCTGGACCAGATCTGGTCCAGAAAATGGTGTGAAGCTGCCCTTAATGATAGGATTTAGGTGTTGAGTCTAGGCTGTAATGGCTGGGTTAAGTTATTTATAAACTTCCACGTACAGTTTATTCCATTTATAATTTGTACAGTGTATTTATTTGAATAAATTAATTTCTTGTTGTGTTATCTACTTTGTACAATCTCACAACATTGAAGGGTTATAAATCACCCTCCTTGTGTTTTTAATTTTAGCAATAATCTGAAATGCAGCAGTACTTTATTAAACTGCAGAGGTGCCAACAACCGACACAGCATATATCTACTAAAAATAATGAATTATTGTGTTTTTCAGGAGCACCTTTGATTTCCCCGCATGACATTTCAGCATTGAATTGTAAAAATGTTTGTTGGTGTGTTGGAAGTTACTGAAGTAGCTGATTGTTATAAAAAGCCAAGAGTTTACAGAATTTTAGAAATAAACCCATGGAACTGAAGAGCTGGCCTTCTCTAAATGGCAAAGGACATTGGGGCACTTTGAGGTTGCTGGAATTTTGCCTTCCTACACCCTAGGATGTCACCAAACTAGTATATAATGACCCTGATAATAATAATAATAAATATGTTTTTATTATTATTATTATAAGGTTTGAAAAGCCAAGCAATAGGCATTAAATAAAACCTGGCTTCATTCCAAAAAAAAATTATCGAAAGAAGCTCCCTACAAAGACATGGCTGTGCCTGCAGTGTATACAGTGACATTGAGTGAGCCATATATACTTCATTTTACAATCAATGCAGAAAACCAAATCAACTAAACATGTGAATAAACAGCAGCTAATTCATACCCTGTGTCTGAAGTATTAGATTAGCAACTTTTTATATTTTTACTTTTTTATACTTGCTTGCTATATATTTGCACAGTCAAACATTTTAAACGCACTGCTCCAACAGTAATACACCACCCATAATATTTATATTTTCTAACTTAGAACAGAAACAGTTTTGGTATTATTTTAGCAATGATATGTATCAATATTTAACTTGACCATACTGAAACAGAATCATTAAAGCTTACCTAATATGATGTGATTTCTGTGGTCGGAAATGCTGGAAAAGAGCAATATTTTTAATTGAAGTAGTTAGGGAGATCAGCACTGTGAGGATCTGGCACAGGTACAATGTAATTACAATCCAAAGGATCCCAGCTCAGAATGAGGAGAGTATGGAGAAGAAGTGGATGATTAGAAAAATGGGTGAAAGCTGTGTGAATCAGGTGGAAACATTGATATACACAATATTATGTTTCTTCTGCAATATTGCTCCTTACTTGTCTGCTAACAAACTGCTCCAGATTGTACAGTAGGCATGTGCGCTGGCAAAAACATTTGTTTTGTTTAGTTTTCATTCAGATTTTAGTTAATTCATTTTTCGGGATTTGGGTCCGAAAATCGGACGAAATCCGAATTTTTCGTTAGCGGTATTCTGTACGAATTTTCGTTACAAGTTAATTTTCGGCGCAGCAAAGTGACATTAGACCAAAAAAAAATTACTTTGTTTTTTTTTTACAGTTCACACAAATCATACCAGGCCTTTTAGGTCTGGTAGGGATTTTAAGGGGGAAACAAAAGTATGCTCACCCCTAAAATTCCTACCAGACCCTGGATCTGAGCACAGGCCATACAACTTTTAGTTTTGGATAGACTAGGGAAAGGTTAAAACCCCTGGCAGGTATTATTTGCCCTTTGTTTACTATTGGAAAAAAATTATCTTCACTTCCTGTTCCAGTGATGCAACAGGAAGTTAGAGTAAATCTCCCAAAGTGAGGGGAATTCCCCTCCTTGACAGTTGTCTCCGGGAACAGGTGAGCATTGGACAGTTTCCTTTTTTTTCTTGTCCTGGGGAAGATTAAAGGGTTATTAAACCCTTGGGGGCTTTTGCCAGGAGAAGAGGAGAGACATAAGGTAAGTCAAGTCATGCAGCCAGAAGCGTGCACCCACACAGACTCCGTGGGACACAGAAGACACAGCAGTCAGCGCTGGATCAGAGACCGACACCAGCGCTGAAGGGACTCCTGAAAACTACTACTGGAGAGAAGATGATCGGATCAAGAGGCATTATTTAAGGTAAATGCATACACCAGCATGGGGGGGGTGATTTTTTTTACTTTAATGTCACTTTAAACTTCTGAATTTCCCATCATTTTCTTTATCAGTGACTTTTCCACTTTATCCAAAACTAATTAACAACAACAAAAAACGTTTTGCCTAGCGAGAGAGAGAGAGAGAGAGATAGATAGGCAGTGTGTGTGGAGATACAAGTTGTAGCATTCCATGGCAGATATATAGGAAACCTGAATCATCTGCTATAGATTTATGGAGCACAATTTTCTTGCTGCTCAGTACTGACCCCCCTGCTGTATAAGAATCCCCCATGTATGCAGGACCAAGGTATATGATGGCACTGCATATGTGAGAGCTCCCTAGTTTATGAGAGCGCCCTGGTATAAGAAGTCTCCCCAGTATATGAGAGCGCTCCCCAGTATAAGAGAGCTCCCAAGTGTTTGACTGCACCGGGCCCCCGTTAAATGGTAACACCCTGGTATATGAGAGCTCCCCGTTATACAAGAACCCTAAATATATAAGAACACCCAGTATATGAGAGCACCCCAGTGTATGAGAGCTCCCCAGTGTATGAAAGTGCCCCAGTATATGAGAGCTCCCCAGTGGATGAGCACTCCTCAGTGTATGAGAGCGCCCCAGTGTATGAGAGCACCCCAGTTTATAAGTGTCCCCCAGTATATGAGAGCACCCTGGTGTATGAAAGCACCCCAGTATATGAGAGCTCCCCAGTGTATGAGAGTGCCCCAGTATATGTGAGCTCCCCACTGTATGAGAGCACCCCAATGTATAAGTGTGCCCCAGTATATGAGAGCACCCCAGTGTATGAAAGCTCCCCAGTATATGTGAGCTCCTCAGCGTATGAGAGCACCCCTGTATATAAGTGCCCCCCCGGTATATGAGAACACCCCAGTATATGAGAGCTCCCCAGTATATGAGTGCTCCCCAGTATATGAGTGCTCCCCAGTATGAGAGCTCCCCAGTGTATAAAAGCTCCTCAGTATATGAGAACTCCCCAGTGTATGAAATCGCCCCACTGTTTGAGAGCCCCCCAATTTATGAAAGTGCTGCAGTACATAACAGCGCGCGGTATAAGAGAGCTCCCCAGTCCCCTTAGTATATGGGTACACCCCTGTATATGACAGCTCTAACTATATAAGAACTCCCAGTGTATGAGAGCTCCCAAGTATATGACAGCGCACAGGTACATTAGAGCACTCCGGTATATGAGAGCTCCCCAGTATATAAGCTTTCCCCAGTATATACAGCACCCCGGCACATGAGCTCTCCCCAGTATATACAGCACCCCGGTATATGAGAGCTCCCCGGTAAATGACAGCACCCCACAGTATATAAGCTCTCCCCAGTATATACAGCACCCCGGTATATGAGAGCACCCGGGGTGAGTCCCAGCAGGCAGCTCTCCACACGGCTCTGTCCTTTCGGACGTTCCCCTATACAGGTCACCTCTCCGACAACCTGTTAGCTGCCGCTCCAAATGGGCTGATTGACATCCCGGCCACCCACTCGCACCGCGCTCTACAGTTCCCTTACAAGGCAGCCCACCAATCGCCTTCCCGGAAATTCACACGCTCCGCCCACTTGTTGCTTTGGGACTCCCAGAAGATTAAAGCCCAACCTCACAGCGAGAAGCCCGGTGATCCCGGAGAGGGGAGGGAGGCTGCACTGTGCTGGGACTCCTGTCTTACTATCGCTGCTGCTGCTTAAATGACCCCAAACGGCAGGTGAAGAACTCCGCTGAACTTCCCCGGGACTGCTGCTGCTGCTGCTTAGACACCTGGTCCCAGAGCGGACAATATGACGAGCCGTGTCCCTGCCACCACCAGAGCGGCTGCTGTCAGGACACCCACCGCGCTGCTGCTGGCGCTATGGCTGCTCATCGTGATTGCAGAGACCACCGCACAGAGGGGGGCTCTGGACGGCTCTCACTTGACTTATGGACCCCTGGAAGAGGAGATCCTGGTGGCCAACAATGGGATCCGGGTGCCCTTCGGAAGATCCGTCTACCTGGACCCGGTTCTGGACCTGGTGATCCAAGTGCAGCCAGGAGACAAGTGTCACATCAGCGTGCTCAGCAATGACCCGCTGTCCCAGGGACCCGGACACCTGTCCCCCAACAGGTTCCCGTGCGATTTCGGAGCCCGGGAAGTGAAGTACTCTCACCTGGGAGCCCGGAGCCCTTCCAAGGACAGAGTGAAACTGCAGCTCCGATATGACACCCAGACCCGTACCGTGATCATCCCATTCATGATCGAGGTGGAGGTTCTGTTCACCCAGCTGGAAGTGGTCACCAGGAACATGCCATTGACGGTGGAGAAGCTGCTGGGCACCAGCAACCCCATAGACAGAAAGGTCATTGAGTTCACTTATGACAGGACGTTTGAGGTGTGCAGGATCACACCGGTGGTGGGACTGGCAGGTCTACCCAGGTACGGGAGGTTGCTACAGAGTCCTGGCCATATGATGGACTGTGGGGAGTTTCTACAACAAGGTGTCCGCTACCAGCACACCGCTTCCACACAGTCCCCCAACAAGGACTTCATACCTATGCTGGTGGAGCTGCATGATAAAGTAGGGAACCTTCTCAAGCAGGAGCATTTCCAAGTCTTGGTCCGTATCAAGCAAGGTTTGGAGAATACACAGCCCAAGCCAAGCTTCATAGCCATGATGATGATGGAGGTAGACCAGTTTGTCATTACAGCTATCACCCCAGATATGCTGGCCGCTGAAGACTTAGAATCTGACCCTGGGGATCTTATATTTAATGTCACTTCAAATTTTGGCCCAAGGCAGGGGCAGATTGTCAGCACCGATGACCGCAACTTACCTATCACCTCCTTTTATCAGCGGGACTTGCAGGAGCTCAGGATTGCCTACAAACCTCCACCTGAGGATTCTGATACTGAGCGCATCTTTGAAGTGGAGCTGGAGGTGGTGGACACTGAGGGAGCTGTGTCTGACCCTTTCTCCTTCATGATAGTTGTAAAACCCATGAACACAATCGCTCCTGTGGTCACCAGAAACACAGGGCAGCTCCTGTTTGAGGGACAGTCTAGACCACTATCTAGTACTCAGAATCTGCAGATCAGCGATGAGGACAACCTGGATGAGGTTAGAGTGACCATGTTGGATGGTTTGAGGCATGGACAGCTCTATTTGTTAGGATCCCCACCTGAAAGCTCAAAGTTTTTCACAGCCTCTGACCTGGATGAGGGCAGGATTATCTATCAACATGATGGCAGTGACACATATAGTGACAACATCATCTTCCGTATGACTGATGGAAAGCATGAAGTGGAGTTCCTTTTCCCAATCACTGTGGTGCCAACAGATGATGAGCCTCCTATTGTTAACGCCAATACTGGTTTGATGCTTTCAGAGAAAGAAGTGGCTCCTGTGACTCCGCTAGTGCTGAGTGCTACAGATATTGACTCAGAGGACTCCACCATACGTTTTATTTTAGAATTACCTTACTCAACCCTGGGGCGAATGGTGCTGCGTCAATCTGAGATACCGCAGGATCCTTCTGAATGGCAGTTCCTCCCTGAGCTAAAGATATATGAGAAGGAGGTAAGTGAGTGGACTCAGCAAGATATATTGGATGGAAAACTGTATTACAAACATGTTGGGCCCCATAGCACTGTCTCAGTCATGGACCAGCTTGTCTTTAGAGTCCAAGATGACAACGATCCTCCAAATCAATCTGGGGAGCACACCTTTGTTGTGAAAATTAACCCCATTGATGACTTACCTCCAGAACTATACCCAGGTACCACCCTCAAGATGGTAGTGCAGGAGTACCATTTAACTTACTTTAGAAAGAAATTTCTCCGTTATACTGACTTAGATTCTGATGACCGGGACCTCAAATACACGGTGACCACCCCTCCATTGGACACAGATGAGAACAACCCAGCTATTATGGGTTTTATAGTCTTTACTGAAAACCCAGATCAAGTTGTCACAGAGTTCACTCAAGCCCAGATAAACCATCATAAGATTTCTTACAAACCCCCAGACCTAGAACTTGGAATCACCCCTCGTGTTGTAGAGTTTCATTATACAGTTGAGGACACATCTGGCAATTCGGCCATAGGGAAGTTTACCATCTTTTTGCAGCCAGTGGACAACAAGCCCCCAAATATCATAAATACAGGGTTTACGGTGTTTGAACGGGGAAGCCACGTTATCACGCCTGCAGAGCTCGATGCCACCGATGCTGACACAGGTAGAGATAAAATCACTTTCACTCTCACACAGTCTCCAAGACATGGGCAAGTTCTGTACTCTAACCAAGTGATGGATGTGGGTGAGTCATTTGTGCTGGATGACATTCGCAATGGGAAAATAAGCTACATGCACAGTGGTGAAGAGTCTGCCAGTGACTCCTGCACTTTGGATGTAAGTGATGGGGTGCATGTCCTCACTATTATCATTAAAATCACTGTGCGGCTGGTGGATGATGAAGTGCCCAGGATCATGTTACCAACTGGAACCATTGGCTCCTACCTAGATGTTTTGGAAGGCAGTTCTGCTGAAATCACAGCTAATGTTATTCAGGGGACAGATGCAGACACAGATGACCTCATGCTAACATTTATTGTTGAAGACCCACCTCATCTTGGAGAAATTCTGGTGAATGGTGTACCTGCTGAAAGGTTTACCCAGAGAGATATAATTGATGGGACAGTTATTTATTCCCACACTGCTGGGGAAATTGGGCTACAGAAAATGGAAGACTCTTTCAATTTAACATTATCTGACCTGTCAGAGGAATGGACTGTTGGGGGTAATAGAGTTACTGGAGTACGTGTTCAAGTGACCATTCTGCCCATTGATAATCAGTCCCCTATAGTTACAGTAGGTGAACAGTTCACAGTTATTGAAGGTGAAAAAAATGTTATAACCTCATCCAATTTAGGAGCACAAGATACGGACACCCCCAATGATGACATCCTGTGCACTATTATTGTCCAGCCTTCATCTGGTTACCTGGAAAATATATCCCCTGCTCCAGGATCTGAAAAATCCAGAGCTGGAACTGCTATTAGTGCATTTACATTGAAAGACATCAGAATCGGACATATTTATTATGTTCAAAGCATCCATAAGGGTGTGGAACCTGTGGAAGATAGGTTGACTTTCCACTGCTCTGACGGCATCAACTTTTCCCAGAAGCACTTTTTCCCTATTGTTATTATTCCAGCTAATGATGAAAAGCCTGAGATTTTCATGAGGGAATTTGTAGTTATGGAGGGCATGAGTCTTGTTATCGATATTCCCATACTGAATGGGGCAGATGCTGATATCCCAACAGATGAACTTGTCTTTTTTATCACTAAGCCGCCAAAACATGGGAATATCGTAAACCAGTTCACCAATGGCACTGTGATAGTCAACAGCTTTAACCTGGATGACATCAAAGAAAGCTCCACCATTCTTTATGAACATGATGACTCTGAGACCAAAGAGGACAGTTTTGAAATAAAACTTACTGATGGAATACATTCAGCGGTCAAAACTGTTCTCATTATGATTATACCTGTGGATGATGAGACCCCTAGAATGACCATTAATGATGGACTGGAGATAGAAATAGAAGAAACAAAACTGATCACCAATAAAGTGCTTAAAGCTACAGACTTGGACTCAGATGACAAAATTTTAACCTATATCCTACGTTACGGACCTGGCCAAGGTTTGCTTCAAAGAAGGAAACCAAATGGAGGACTAGAAAATATAACAATAGGTATGAACTTTACTCAGGATGAGGTGGACAGAGAATTAATACAATACCAGCATTTTGGCCAAGAGGGCATTCGTGATTTGTTCAAGTTTGATGTCACTGATGGAATTAATCCACTTATTGATAGATACTTTTATATTACAGTGGGGGGCATCGATATGGTCTTTCCAGATGTGGTTAGTAAAGGAGTGTCTTTGAAAGAAGGAGGCAGAGTAACACTTACCACTGACTTACTTAGCACTAGTGATCTCAATAGCCCAGATGAACACTTAGTTTTTACAATCACAAGGGCTCCGGTGCGTGGGCACTTGGAGTGCACTGATCTTCCAGGGGTGCCCATCACATCCTTCACCCAGCTCCAGTTGGCGGGTAATAAAATCTACTACACTCACACATCAGATGATGAAGTGAAAATGGACAGCTTTGAATTTGAGGTCACCGATGGCTATAATCCAGTTTTTCGCACTTTCAGAATATCTATCAGTGATGTGGATAACAAGAAACCAGTCCTGACTATCCATGAACTAACAGTGAGAGAAAGTGAAAACAAACTGATCACCCCCTTTGAACTTACAGTGGAGGACAGGGACACTCGAGACAAACGGCTGAGATTTGTTATAACTCAAATTCCAGTTCATGGGAAGATCCTTTATAACAACAGTAAAACAGTGACCTCTTTTACAAAGCAAGACCTAAATGATAACCTTATCAGCTATAAGCACGGTGGCACAGAGACTACAGAGGACAGCTTCTCCTTCACTGTCACTGATGGCACCCATACTGACTTTTATGTGTTCCCGGATACCGTATATGAGACAAGGCAGCCCCAGATGATGAAAATACGTATAATAGCAGTGGATAACGGCGTGCCACAGATTGTAGTAAACAAGGGGGCCCCAACACTTCGAATTCTGAGCACTGGCCATTTGGGATTTTTGATTACCAATAAGGTTCTTAAAGCTGAAGACCGGGACAGTGCCCACCTTTCACTCCGTATCCGAGTCACACAAAGTCCTAGCCATGGATTCCTCATCAATATGGACAAGGGCAACCACAGCATAAACCAGTTTTCTCAAGGTAAGCTCTTTGATGATCATGCATCTTTTCATATGGGTTGCCAGTATGTTTCTGCACTGTTTTTATAAGTGTACTGTATACAAAATTGCAACATTTTGCTTTGCCTTTAAGTGTAACATTGAGAAGTTGTTAATTTGTTTGGACATATTCCAGAAATGATAGTAGAGATGTGCTGTAACCCATCATAGCTTGCAATCAGCATTTGAGTTCAAGCCAATTGAATCTGGTTTGTAGGTGATGCCAACTTGACTCTTTCCACCATGAGATAATATTCTGCTACTGCTTTACTCACATTCTTTCTAATTACAGACAATTGGCCTGAAGGTAATAGGTGATGATTAAAGTAAGTCATCAGCCTACTATATGTTGTTGTTTTTTTGTTTTTTAGTTTTGGGTAGAGTAGGCAGTGTTTGTAACCAATCAGGTTTTTTTTTGGAGAGATTTTCCTTGACTTCCTATGCTGAAGACACAACAGGAAGTGACTTGAAAAGTTAGGGTAAACCCCCCTCTTAGACCGTTGTCACCATTGGAAGTATACCCTTCTATTTCAGTTCTGGTGACAACTGCAAATGTTTGGGTTTCCTATCACTTTCTGTTCCAGTGAAAGTGGAGGGGATGCATTTCCATAGGTAAAAAACTGGCACTCGCAAGGGGATCCGTCCATCCAGCATTTTATTTGTGAAAAGGCAAAACAGCAGGAAACAAACACTTACATGGTTCAGCCCCCAAACTGGGCCTTAGTCATCACTACGACTAAGGCCCAGTTTTGAGGGGGGGGGGGCTGAAAGATGTAAGCATTTGTTTGTTTGCTGCTGTTATGCCTTTTTGCAAATAAAATACTAGATGGATGGATCCCCTTGCCAGTGCCGGTTTTTTACCTATTGCTCAGTGAAGGCTCTGGCAGAAGCTTTACCAGGCAACGAGGTTCAAGCAGCGGTATTAGAGACAAGAGCTACTCAATGTTTCTAAACCGCTGATGAATTTCCATAGTGGGGAACCCTCCATACTCTATCCAGACCTACAAAGGTTTTGGTGTTAGATATGCATTAATAAATGCTTCTCATAGCTAGAAAGATCTGGGACAGCTGGAGCAACTTCTCTGTATTGCCATATATACACCGTTACACTCCACCTTTTACTTTGTCAGAATGGCATCTGATTGGTGGGTATTGGGCCATTTAACCTTTTTTTTTGGATATACCTTAGATATTAAAGCTCAATGTGGAAAGGGGCCTGGATGGCCAGAATGAGGATAGTACATCTTGTGGCTCTTTGCATTACATGATTTAACAAAGACAAGCAATTTTATATTCAGTCTTGTTTGATGGTACAGATTCAGTTATTTTTCCCTGATTGTGTTATGACAATTTTTATCCTCCTGAAGAAGTGGTCATTATCGCTAATTCACATTTGTTCAAAATAATTTCTATATTTTAAGATCATTATGGTCAAGGTACACAGTTTTTAATCCGCAATAGATAGAGTAAAGCTGGCCATACATCTATAGATTATCTGCAGATTTTCTATGGTCAGATGGAAAAAGTATCTTGCTAGTCGGCCCCGTTGGCTGTCAAAATACCTGAACAATCTGATTGGATGCAGACATTGTTCAGGTAACAGGTAATCTATCTGTGTATGGCCAGCTTTAGGAATTAAAACCACTGCCAGTGTGTTTGTTTGTTGTTTGCCATTTGTGTCTCATTAGAGGGATTTCCCTTTACTTCCTGTCCTGTAGACTCAATAGGAAGTGAGAGAATATCCTTCCGATGCAAGAAATATACCATCCCTGACAGTTGTCATGAGAACAGTTATCCTCATTTGAAGATTTCCCCTCTATTGCTGTTCTGGTGGCAAGTCCAAATTTCGTATTTACCCTCACTTTAATTCCTGGTGACACTCTAGCCCAGGGGTGGGCAACATCAGCCCTCCAGCTGTGCTTTAACTACAAATCTCAACATACCTCTGCCTGTACCTGTTAGTGTTGCAATACCTCTTGGGACTTGTAGTTCAACAACAGCTGGAGGGTCGGAGTTGCCCACCCCTGGTCTAGCCAAACTTAAAAAAAAAAGGCTTTTATACTTTAGGGGCTACTTACTCTTCCGTATTATGGTAATGCATTCATTATCGCACGTTACTGTTACACATGTGACATGCATTACTGCAGGGCTCAAAATTTCAAGTCCTGAGTTACTAGCTAGGGCTTAAGAGTTACTCGCCACTAGTTGCCCCACCTAACCCCTACCCTGCCCCACCTTAACTCCGCCCCTAAACACACCCTCTTAAATTATCTTATGATAATTCTTATCTTATGATAGTTGCCGCTTGTAAATGACAGATTAGGGATTCCTGTTGCAGGAAAAAGCAAGTTCCAGACACAGGAATCCATAATCCCTGAAATGTAGGTGTAAATTGGGGCCTAATATACGCATACACTAGAACACATTAATACACTTCTCAACGTTACCCTCCCCCCCGCACAAATATAATAATAAAATTCCCCCCGCACACAAAAAATAATATATCCCCCTCTGTTATAAGTCCAAGCCAAATGAAGCCGGAGCCGACAGGAGCAGCTCTGCGGTCTGCATCTGAAACAGATGCAGACCGTGGAGCTTCTCCTGCAAGTCAGGTACGCGGTCTGTGATCGAGTGCCTGATATGTCAGCTGTCTGCTGGCCACATAGTACCGGCTCGCAGACCGCAGTTGGACCGCAGACCGGTACTTGGAGACCCAAATTTCCACTCTCCCTCACTTTATTTTTACTCGCAAAATGCGAGCAGGCGAGTGTAAATTTTGAGCCCTGCATTACTGCATTGTGTTGCATTTTGAATGCACTAATGCAATGCACCTGAGTTACAGAGCGCTACAACACATGATATTGCATTGTATTACAAAAAAGGGTCATGTATGATTTTTTCACCATGTCGGGGTGCGTTGCCAGTCCATTCATTTTCATTGGGCTGCCTTAATGCAACGCAGCGCATTGCACTGCACTGCAAAGTAGTAAATGGATCATTCATGAATACACACATTCAGAATCTTCTTTAAAGAAGAACAGTGCTAATTGTAATCATTTAGGCTCCGTTTACAGTGGGGCGTATCGTGATCACGCGTCAAATGTGCACAAACGTGCATGATACTTGCACAAATGCACAACGCATTTGCATTGCCAATACTAGGTAATGACACCCCAAACATTGCCAAGCAAACATGATTTTTCCACGCACTTGAGAACGCATACGAACATGTGGGAAAAAATTTGGAACGTATGTTGTCAAATTGGCGACGTACTTCTTTTCTGCACCTAGGGACCCAATGGGGATCAATGTTGACGCATGCCAAACATGGGAAACAAAGTCCTGCAAAAATGTAGGAACTAATGTTCCGTTGTAATATCCCCTTCACATACCGTTCTGTTATACCCCTGAATCCAACGGGTGCTGGAACAACTGGTGGATGGCACTACAGTATACAATCTAGAAGATATGTTGTCCGCACACCATTCTGCTTCGGAATGTCATCTTTCTTTCTATTCCTTTAGCATGACATGTGAATGCAACGTTTCGGAGCCTCACAGGGCCCCTTCATCAGGCAAAGTGGACACTTTGTCTGACGAAGGGGTCCTTTGAGTCTCGGAAATGTTGTATTCACATGTCATGCTGAAGGAATACGAATAAAGATGACATTCCGAAGCAGAATGGTGTGCGGACAACATATCTTCTAGATAGGAACTATTGTTCCTGTGACGAGCATTCCCGCTACGCCCTAGTGTGAACGGAGCCTTATTAAAAAAAACTGGTGATGATGTCTGAAGTGCGATAACCTGTAAGATCCAATCAGAGATCATGTTGTAATTTGAATTGGTTTCAGTCCAGTAAACCAAAACCACTGATTTGCTCCTATAGGTTATTGCCATTTGTATATTATTGATTAGATAAGTTGCTTGCAGCTGGTATATTGAAATGATGGACAAGTGAGACAGGTTGGAGTAATATGTAGCATTACATATATAATGACATTGTAGAAGAATTATTCATTTTTATATATGTCCCAGCAGCTAGCTTTTAAATATATTCTAAAAGTTCTTGCATTGTAATATGTGTTATATGCTGCTGCAGTTAGATTTGACCGTAGATAAAACTGATCATTGCATTGTGCGTTCTAACACAGCTCCACCTGCTTTCATGTATTATGGCCGCATTTAGATGAAGATAAACAGCTGCATGCAGATAAAAAAAAGCAAACCCTTTAAATAGTACAGGTTGCTAAGTCAAGTCTGTGTCAGCGATAGATAGATGTGACCAGTGCCAGATGGATTTAGTTCAGAGGACAGGCAGGCGGCATCCTGGTGGTAGTACATTGCATGGTGTTACCTGAAACACAAAGGAAATGCATATTACAAAAATGACTGGGAAAGGGCGGCCTGAGCCTCTTCTCAGCTTTCAATACACTACAAGTTCCAGCATGCTTCTAAAACCTAGAGAGCCTCTGCTTTAGCAGTGTATTATGGCCATCAAGTGGCCATAATGCACTGCATATTACAAAAATGACTGGGAAAGGACGGCCTGATCTGGGAAATCAATAATAGAGGGGAAATCTAGAAAGGTAATCTCCCAATAAGGATAACTGTTCTCATGACAACTGTCTAGGATGGTATAGTTCTTGCATCAGAAAGATATCCTCTCACTTCCTATTGAGTCTATAGCCTGAACCTCTTCTCAGCTCCCAATAAACTACAAGTTCCAACGTGCTTCTAAAACCTGGAAAGCCTCTGATTGAACAATGTGCAGATATAACGAGTTGGTGATTTATGAACGGTTTGCATAGCTAGTGAGATTTACAGCTCACTTTATCCTTTCAGCAGCTCACTATGGCCACTAGGTGGAGGCAATGAGCATGGGAATTTCCTACGCTCCTCGGCTCCATCAAGTGGCCATAATGCACTAGACATTTCCTTCGCTATGCAAATGGTTTATAAATCACCCCACTGTGTCAGTTGA